GACGCAGTCCACGAGTATTCCTCCCTCGTTTCGGGTGAAAACGTGCTGAGCTTTCGTCCATCATTCGATAAACATCATCAGAGCTGGATCTCATTCTTGTAAGTCTCACATTAATACAGTACAACGATTTTCATACGTCCTCATCTGCTGAGATCGACAAACGAATCTCTTCATCATGTACTTTCATTCGAAATGAAGGTCCCCCTAACAATGTTATCTCAGGAGATTCATCGAAACCAAGTTTCGCTTCGTATCTATAAAGGAAATTACACTTTCCATCATAGCCCAGTTTTCAGATGCTGTGATTTGGATCATTGAATGGGAGAGTCTTCGAGTGATTCGACATTTTTCTTTGAACGAAAAGTGCAATGCTTAAATTTATCTTACATGTAAAATAAGATGGACATAAATGAAATTTAGTCTTTTGGATTAGACGAAGCAATTTGATGTCCGCCGTCCTGAGACCTGAATTCATTTTAAGCTTTCGTTTGTATCGGCTTGCAGACATCGTTTTTGCAAGAAAATATATTTTACGAAATAACCTCCACCATAACGCAGCATTGCAGCTGAACAGTTGCAGAACAACACGACTCAGAATGCCGCTCTGGTGAGTTCGCTATACGTTCTCTTCATCTTGACTTTCCTACCAAATATAGGTCTCCACAATATTGCTTGTGTATGATATTGACCGAGAAAGTGTGTATATTGAAGCCGTGGAGGCTCTTCGAGGTGGGAGTTGAAACAGTCGGTCTCAGCCGATTCTATATCGTAATGGGATTGAAGGCAGAAGAATAGCCGAATTCCCACAGCTTCGGCATTGCCCAAATCGGCCTGATCCGGTACCTGCAAATAGGGTCTAATACCCACCTGATATCAATTAGAATGGGCGCCAACGACAAACATTTCATGCAATTCATATCAAATTGATTGAATGAAGTAGAAGATTAGTTATCAAGGTGCCTTGTACTAGATCATTCATGACCATCAACTTTAGTAACAAGAGTGTCCTGCATAGTATACTCCTAATGACGAGTTTCTCTTAATCAAAACTAAAGTTAGTATTTGATATTGATGACCCTAGGGCAGATATCTACTCTCTTTTGGTCACTCTTGACTGCCATTCAGTCTCGTGTGTCTACAGAGTGATAATATCATTCACCTAAAGGCACACACTTAAACGCAGAGATTTACATAAATTTAGATAATTATTAAAAGAAAAGTATGTCTGGCTTTAGTAGATTAATTCTATGCGTATTTTATAGCAAGGCAATACTAGCCAGTTAGTCGTTATGACATTTTCCAATCTGAAGATTGTCATGACAATGCGTCCCCGCTGTGAGGAGGCCTGTCAACTGATGTGACAAATAAAAACGTAGTCATCACACCATAAGCACAGTGTGTCTCGGGCACTTTGTCAACTCGAACATTCTAGTAATCCGAACAGACAACTGTCTGTTGTGTATCTGCTTTCGTTTTCTGATGACAACAATCAACTTGAATCTCCTGAACACACACTTTCCCCATTGTATCGAATCCCAACGAAATGTGTGTGCC